CACCTTCAGAAATACGCCTTTCATTTAAGAGAGAAATTTTCAGCTTCCGTTATCATTGGAGGTGATTTCAACATTGATTATACGAAGGTGAAGCAGGTTGTGTACGACCAAATTATTTTAAAGGCTCCGCAGCACTTGGTCGGATGCCGTAAAGGCCCACGGAGAGAAAACATTGATTATTTCCTTTGCTTACCATATTTGCTAGATGATGTAAGTTGTGTTGATATCAACGAATTTGTTGAAATTCAAAGGGGGGAAATATGTCTACGGAATGTAGACCAACTGGAAAACGTAAGAGACTTGCTTCAATGATATCTGGGATATCACCAGACCAAATCAATGATATTCTTCATGTATTAAAAGTTAATGGGTTTTGGGCCAAACCAGACCGTCTTGCACTGGAAAGAGCAACTTTAAAACTCTGGCTTCATCTGATACTTGAAGCAACGATACAAGAAATCCACCAGCTTAATATAGAACTACGAAGATTTCGGCAAATAAATCGCCAACGGGAGAGGAACCAGTCTGAGGCGAACCATTGAACTTGCGGCCAATGACGACTCCTAAACCCATCTAAACGACTTTCTTTTGATAGTTGGACAATCTTTTTTGATTTTTAGATACCATTATGTACCAATATTAATGATATTGAAAGAGTGGCATTAGAACTGAGAAAAATTTCCCAGGACGTAATCGTAATTTCCCAATCGCTCATACTAGCACTTTCATTAGAGCTACTACTGTTAATGACATTCACCGTGCTCTCAAACTGTTTCGTTCGAGATGTTTTGTCTTTTAAATTGTAGAATCAAGTAATCATGCTTGTAATATTTAATCATTAGTCCTCTCTAAATGCGTACGTTTTATCATTTTGTAGAATTTTTTGTATTTAGGCATATCTTGTTTTATATTATTTTAATTTTTGTAAGTAGAAATGTTAAAATTTAGCAGTACGCTTACTTCTGCAAGCAGAGCAAACGCATTGCAAATGTTATGTGCAATTATACCCAATGTTCTTTAGACTAAATAAATGAAAGGAAATGAAATCAAATAAAACGTACGATTTTCCGTTACAATATTAGCGAACATAAAATGCTAAAAATAGCTAAATGATCGAAGACAAAAAAAAAGAATTAGAGTGTAAATGCTGTAAATATTTCTTTTAATAGATGCCGGTAAATGAGTGTTATATTCCGTTGTGCGAAGCATGCGCTAAGTAATACAAAAATAAGTATTTTAGGGGAATAATCGATTTCTGTGGTAAACCTAAATTACAAATTTAATAGAAGTCAAATTGTTTAAAAGTATTGTAGAGATATGTATGGTATCGACCAAATGTTTAATCATGAATGTTAAATTATGTCCTGTTGAGTGTGGTATTATTTAGTAGGCCTGGGCCAGCTTAGACGGTGTAAGCTTTCGGCTTTTTAATAATTGTCTCTTGTACTCTAGCTAAATAATATGTTGAATTGAATTGAATATAATTTTAAAATATTTTAGTAGTAATGACCATGTTGTTGTGTATATGTATGTTGAGGTCAAATAAATAAACGAAATGATATGATATGAATCATATATCAAGCATAGCCCGTCAACGAAAAGTTCCTTTTCAGTTTAAATGAAAAAAAAAGGTGTCTGTGAAGAGATTTAAATCTGTAACCTCTCGCTGACAAGGCGAGTGTCAAGCAAATGCCTATATGTTGCTGAACAATTCAGTACAACTAATTTCTCGCCTCTTGCATTAGTAGTATGGCATGTTTAATTTTGGTTAGGCTATATTTAGTATACGCTACTCATTTTGCATGCTAATCTAACGATGGTAATTTAGTTGATCAGTTCTATACTAATGGTGAATGGGGAAATATTATAACTTCTGTTCTACTCATCTTGGAATGGGTGAGAGTGATCACGACGCAATTAAAGTTACACTTAATCTAACTGAAATAAATATTAAGCTTCCTCCTAGTTATTTTATAAACTATCCAAAAATTGATGTCCCACGTGCTATAGCAATATTTTTCACAATTGATTGGAGTGTTTGTTTTGAAACTTATGACGTTAACTTTACATGGGAATGTTTTAAAAATAAGTTTATCATGGAAACTTTTGATAAGGTTAGTGCTTTGGATAACACCTGAAATAATGAAGTTATTTGATAAAAAGAAAATATTGTATAAGCTGCTAAGAAAACTAATATCTATGATAAGTGGGTCAAATATAATTGCTACCGCAATAAAATTATGTATTCCACAAAAAGGGCTACTTCCACTATATTGCGGATTTGGCTTTCAAGTTTAATGACGATGGGAAATCTTTTTGGACCTTTGTTAGGAATCCAAGTCCAAACCTGTGGCCCTTTCTTTTAAAATCAATCAATGTGCAATAGATGACACACTTATCATGGCTAATGTTTTTAACGACTTTTTAAGTCAAATTTCTCATATGAAACTAACGTGTAATATGTCCCCAGTAAATGAGAGCAACATTGGCTTTCAACCTTTGGTAACTATACGAGCCAGTGCAAGTGATGTCCTGGGTCCCATGCTTGAAGCAAAGTAAAGCTCCCGGTCCTGAGCGGTATCACCTCTACCATGGTAAAGGTAGTTTTCAAGCTGGTGTCGTTCCCACCGTGTTATCGGTAAACTTTTAGTAAGGGTCGTTTGCAAAAAACCTGTTGATCAATTTAAGCATTATAGGTTATTGTCCTCACCATCCATGGGTTTACTTCTGGTAGATCTTGTCAAACTACACTTGTTTCTGTTTATCATGATTGGTCTTCTACTTTGGATGTTCGGTGCCGTCCCCCCATTGATGTTCAATTTATAGACTTTTGTAAGGCCTTTGACAGGGTTTTTCATAATATCTTACTAAATAAACTTCATCGCTATGGGGTCTGTGGTCTTGTGCTTAAGTGGTTATCATCATTTCTCTTGAATCGTCAACAGCAGGTGTGTTTGCGTGGGGCCCTGTCCGCACCCTGCGCTGTCCGATCATGGAGTTCCGCAGGGTTCGGTACTGGGTCCAGTTCTGTTTAACGTTTACGTTTTAGATTTGGCTAATAGGTAGTTTTCGCCGCACGTTGTTAACCTTAACGTTAACGTATAACGTCATAATTTATTCATCTTGCGTTTCGGAGTACGTAAATTTCAGGATTTTACGTGCTCGAAGTACGTTAGTTACGGGTTTGCGCATGCGTTTTTGTTGACAAAAGGGGCGGAGATATCGCGTAGCATGTTGGGTACTAACGTTAAAGTTAAGGTTAACGTCGTGCGGCGAATACTACCTATTGCTATACCTTCAACCGTTATTCAATACGCTGATGATACCATCATTTACAGGACTATCGGATCCCATAGCGGTATGCTTACAAAATTATCTTACTGCCCTCAATGCATCGAGTGAGAGTAATAAACTCCCCCTAAATAAATGCTACACTCTTCGCTTATAACTAGATCCAGTAAACATAAACGAAATGATGTTACATGTTTCATTAGTGATGATACAATTTCGAACGTTAACTTTGTGAAATAACTTGTTGTTACTATTTCCAATGATTTATCTTGGAATACACATGTTGATAATATTTCAAACAAGGCGTCCCGCCTTCTTGGTTTTATCGAATAGTTTATATTTAAATAATAGCTGTACACTTTTGATGGGTTCGGTTGGGTAAAGCCGACCTCCTAAAGAATCCAAAAGTGTAAGAGTAACGAGAGGGTTAGAGATCGAGTCGAATGATAGGAAAAGTTCACTATTGCACTTAAAAGCCGAGCTCTCACTGTGTCGGACAACGGTACGACCGTCGGGTAACGACGCGACTCCGTTTGCCTATTGTCGGTGACGGTTTTCTGCTTTAAAAAAGATCCGGTGCGCGAGCATCGTGGCGTTACGTTCTACTAAGAATCTGATTGACCTGAATTGGAGAACGGTCAGACTTCGACTGAATGAGGAGAGCGTCAGATTTTGAGTTGTTCAGAAAAAAGTTTATTTGCAACAAGTCACTGTATATTCACCGCACATTCCTCTACTGACTGGACTGAAGATAGATAATACACCACTCTAGTTAATAACATTGTTGCAGTATTTAAGCATACAGAAAACGATATAATGATTCTCCTCATCATGCCCATGGGTACGGTACCGTGATACATTTTCATACAAAGTTAAACAACTCTCCTAAAATAACAACCAACATCATCTGTTACCTTTTGATGGGAATATAAGTTTGCGAAAGTAGCGTTTGATTGTATTAATTTCCGGTATTAGAAATACGCACAGTTTCCTTATTGATCGTAGATGGTATAATGTCTTATAGGTCAACCATTGACACTATGAATAGGAAGACTGTTATTAGTCATATCGTAAAAATGTAAGTCTACCAATACAAACTTAAATAACAAAACAGTAAGCAATGGGTTTTGCACTCGAAAACAGCCCAGAAATCGGCTAACCCGGTAAATACTGCTCTTTGAAATATAACTAAGGAAAAAAGAGCATTATATTTACTATTCGGTATAGATATATAAATTCACAATCAAGTAAAAATACACCGCTCGCCAAAGGATGATATTCACCGTCGTTCTGTTTGTGGTAAAATTGATTTGCTGTATTGGTACAGGTAGGTCCTAAGTCAAATTTATTGGTGTCATTTGTTAAAACAATTTATTTGATTAGTGTTATTTATAATTGTTGTTTGTATTCAAGTTTATTGTAAATCCTAGAATAATTGGTTTGTATTGTTTTTCAACAAGAATGTGTTAAGCTTAGATTACTTCTGTTTAACTGTATTTTATCACTTTTTTAGCGATATATTGTTGATAGTAAGGTTTAAAAACATTCTGAAGTATTTGTGCTTGTGCATAAACAATTCTATTTGTATTTTTTGTTTTTCTTTACCTTTGTGTTTCTCTTTTTCTTATGTGGGAAAATTATTTTGATAAATATGTGGAATTCGGAAGGGAGCACTAATATGGTAAAATAATAAAACCTTAAGTCTTTCGAATTTACTTTATTTTTTGTCCTTTTCCAAATTTCACATCTTTTTAACAAATGCTATTATATAATGCCTTTTACGTTAACTTTGATTTTGTTTTCTATGAAATGAAAATATTACTATTTATTTGAAATATCCTTTATTATTATTCTTGTAATGATAGAAATGTCTGTATTGATGTTTTCATTATTATAATGCTTGAAATTTCAATTTTTTATAAATTATTGTAATTGTATGTTGTTATATTATTGAGCATTGCTGCTTACTCTATATATACTTTGTATTTCGTTTGTTTGAAAGAAGGTTAATAAATCCTTTTAATTGAATTTGTAAAGAGAGATTAGGCCTATGCTTTTATGTTTCAAATATTCCTAGCTTCTGAATTAATAGACATTTGTATAGAAAAATTTGAACATTACTCAATAATATTTTTCCAGAGCCAAAAGAAGGTGAGGTTCGGTTGGTTGACGGTACCAATCAATTGAAATCGGAAGGACGTGTCGACATTTTCCTCGATGGTGAATGGGGAACGATATGTGACGACGCTTGGGATATTTTTGACGCGAATGTCGTCTGCAAGCAACTTGGCTTTGAATCTGCCAGAGCAGCGTATCCTAACAACTCGTATCCTTCAGGAGATAGTTTACCAATTCATGTAAGAGATGTATTCTGTGTCGGTTACGAAAAGAGTGTGTACGAATGTTTATTCCACAGAACTCATCTTGATAGGTGTGCACATTCTGAAGACGCAACTCTTGCCTGTAACAGTGAGTAACTAATTCTTGTCAATAGAATTATCCTTGTCAGGTATTAATTGTATATGCCAACGTCAGCACTTTTATATTATTATTTCTATTATTTAAAACAGGATTATGTTTGTAGTGTGACGAGTTGCCTCAATTACATGCCGTTATTTAATAAATTTTTCAATTTCGTTGAGATTTAATTGTTTGTTTTATTCAAGCAAGAACTTTCACCAGTTAAAAGTCCATGGTTCCGGTTAACAAAATATTGTCGTAAATGTTGTACTTAGATCTGACAGCTTTAGTAGATGCATGTTATCATTTTATCATACACTAAGCATTCACTACGCGTGATAACATTTCTTATTTGTTGCAGCACTTCGCCTTATTGGTGGTGAAAATGACGCAGTTGGTCAAGTGGAGGCACTGCTACCCCATTCTCTAAGATTCTGCCAAGACTCATTCGACAAAACGTCTGCAGAAAATGTAGGTCATCATTCTTTAATCTACCCTTTATAGGCTATTGAACTTTCGGTACGTCCTGCAACGTCAGCAGTCGATAGGCCTGTTCATAAAGGTCAACAAGCAACTATAACAGTTATTAAAAAGCTGAATACTAGATTGGGTTTTTTTACCACAACCAACTCACTTTTGCAGTCCATTGATACAAAATATAAACTAGCGTTCACATTAATCTGAGACAACTATATAATTGTCTCAGCAGTTAATACTCAGATACTTTAATTCGTCCATAGGCCTATATGCATACAGAATTGTTTTCCGCGTCATCAGTGTGGCCATCCATAATATTCTGGACTGAGAAGTGTGTTTCTTCGTTAATTTTATGAAACATCATTGTATTATTATAATATACAATGTGTTAACTTACTTATTTTTTTTTTATTTTTTTATTCCTGTTATCGATTTTCCGGTAGGTAAATATTGTGTTTTTCTTATCCATTAACACCATTGTCTCAGTTTGCTCAATCTTGATAGGTATGCGCAGAACTTGGATACTCCAGTGTCGAAGATTACAACTGTTGCGTCAACACCGAGATGGAGACAACATCTTTGATGGAGTATGCTACAATTGAATGCATAACGTCAACGGATAGAAAACTCTGTAAATTGACCAATGAGACATGCCCATCCCAGAATTATGCATCCATAAATTGCAGTATTGGTAAGTTGGTCCATGCCTAAACATAGGCCTAGTGTTACTACCTGGGTTGTTTTTATTAAGTTGTAGAAATGAGGACACTTCAGAAGTTAGTATGTAAACTTAACAACACAACCCAATCCAAATAAAATTCCAGACATAACAAGTAGGCCTATTATGAATTTGCAATATTGGTCATGTAAACTCCTAGTATAAGCACTAGTAGTATACAAGTATGGACCTAATTATTAAGTGTTTGGTGGATTATTTAGAGTAAGGAAGTGATTCTTAAACCAGGGACAGGAAACGACAGAGACGACGGTGATGGCAAACTAGATGCGAGTTTTGTAAGCAGGAGCTGATAAACAGTATAGAACAGAATAGAGCGTTATGGAAAGCCTTCTGGTATGATACTACAACACTAACAGAGTAAACCTAATACTGTAATAAGACAATCACATTGTCAAATTGTTTTACTTTAAAATATGCTTAGATAAGATTCTAACAGATTTACAACCTGGATTCATACTGAAATAGTCCTTGACTATCTATTATAATCTATTATGATCTACTAGGACTTACATCCTGAATCTTTAGTCTGATGCGAAACGATGCTGCATACAATACAAGAAAAACTGTTAGTTGAACTGTTGAATATATAATGAAACTAGCATTATGAATGCAAACATTTATTTTTATTATAATTTATTTGTCTTCAGCGCCAATCCGAATTATACCAGTTGGAAGCAACCCTTTGGAAGGACGCCTGGAGGTTCTTTTGGACGGTACCTGGGGGTCAGTGTGCAGTGACCTATGGAACAATAAATCTGCGGTTGTTGCGTGTCGACAACTGGGAAACTTTGCACTGAAACCAGCGAATGCATTAAGGTTGTTGATTTAGAAGTAGTTTACATAGTTATCTTAATAGTTAACTGTATTACTATAAAACTTGATTAATATAGTCCAGTTTAGTGAATTACTGTAGTCCAATTAACTGAACTAACAGTACTTCAATACGAACTATTCAATTATATCCAGATAAAGTGATTACTGTAGTCCAGTAAAGGTGCCATAATGGACTGAAATGCAAGTACTTCAATTGAAAATCAAATATGCTGTTGTGTTCGTTCAAAGTAAAAATACAATAAGATGAATGAGACAATAATTTAAAAAAAAACGTTTTTCTTGCTTTTTAAAAAAATAATATTTTATATATTTTCTTTCTAGATTTTCGGGAGATGTTGGTATAAACAAGAATGTTGCATTTGAGAATCTATGTTGCATCGGTGATGAGCAGCATATTGAGCGATGTCCAATAAAAAGCATCGGTCTGGATTCACCGCCATGCCAGATGGACAATGTTGGCATGGTTTGCACAGGTAAACTTTAGCGCCACCTAACAAAAATGATTGGTTCATCAATGTCCTGGAAATTTAGGGTGCTAAGACTCATGCTGTATATGAAAATATCAAACATTGGTATTAGAATCAAAGGTCTTTCTTCCAAATCTATTGGAACCGAGTGTGTTATGAAAAATACATTGGTTCAAGTTTATCTTCATTTTATTATCAATATCGTATTGTTCTTTAGATATCCGTCTTGTTGGAGGAAGGCCTGGTTTTTCAGAAGGACGCGTTGAGGTAGTGTCTAACCGTCAGTGGGGAAATGTTTGTGCAGACTCATGGACAATACAGAACGCTGACGTCGTGTGCCGCCAGTTGTATGACGTACCGGCCTACTCCATCGGTGATTTTGGTCAAGGCTCTAATGACGTATTAATGTCTAAGGTAGACTGTGTCGGTGATGAATCGAGCCTTACTAAGTGCTCATATTTGAGGCACACTGATGATAGTAACGTCTGCAATACCAATATGCAAGCAGGAGTTATCTGTCAAGGTATATTAATAAGTGATTCTTTGTCAGTAATAAGAAAGCAATGAAATGAATACAATCCTTAATTAGATAAAGGAAATGGAAATTTGAGACAAAAATATACAAAAGCAACATAAAACTGAAACATTTAAATGTATATACTCGTAGTATAATCTTCTCTTTGTTTTTCATTTTAATCATCCTTGTCATCCACCACATCATCATTATATTATTAAAATTATCTAGGCAAAATGACAATATTATTGCAGATCTGAGACTCCGGAGCGCAACCAATACTTTAAACGTAGGTCAAGTGGAAATTATGGTGGACGGTAAATGGGGCAGCATTTGTGGCCATGGCTGGAGTATCAAAGAGGCCAATATTGCATGTCGTCAACTAGGCCACTGTTCGGCGTTGCGTTCGAGCATAGGAGAACATCGATTAGATGTCGATCGAATGCACTGGACCTCAATCAGTTGCCTTGGTAACGAATCCATGCTACGAGATTGCAACTACGAAATCGGAAATGGACCATGTTATAATTTTCTCTTCGAGGCTGATGTAACTTGTATTGGTAGATTGAGCGTATTTATCATTTTTATTTTTATTAAAAGTAGTAATGGAAGTTTGTTCATGTTAATTCATATTAGTGTAAAAATATAATAATAATTATTATTATTGTTGTTATTGTTATTGCTGTTATTCTATTATTCTTAGATTCTTGTCCAGACTTACATGTAATTGACAACCTTATTGTTGAATCTGGAAGGAATGAATTTCGTCCTGGCGATACAGCAATAGTGCGATGCGAGGAAGAGTTCGTACTAGTAGGATCTCATGAGATGACTTGCCTCCATGGATGCCATTGGGATTCAAACATGCCACTCTGTGCACCTTCATCATTACTCAAATGCAAGTTATGACTAGGCAGAGTGCGGCTGATGAACAAGATGACGAAATTGGTGTTGATGATCAGTGGTGGCGCCATCGGGGAAGGGGAATTTCCCTCGTCTGACAGTCATTGACCCCCGTCGTCCGACTCCACGACGAGATCGTCGGATCAAAAACAATAATTTGTCTATCCAGAAAACGTTATTTTGATTACCAATTCCTAATATTGTGGTCTGAAAGCACAATTAGGGCTATAATAAGCCATAAGAACTCTCTCTATGAAACCACCACGGATTATTATTCCGGGAATCTGGCCAAGGCTTAGTCGGCCCCTTGGTTTGGACCCTATGTAGTCAAATTTCTGGAGCCACCGTTGTAGTTGATGATGGTGATGACATGACGATGAAGAAGATGATGATGGAAAAATTGAAGAAGATAACAATAATTTGCTTTATTGAATATTATTATGGATTCATTGTATAATAATGATTGACTGATAGATTGATTACTTGAGTTTAATTGATTTTTTAAATCATTGTTTAAGTTTGCTTAACTATTTTTAGTTCAATAATTGATTGATTTGATTTATTGTTTATTTGATCGATCGATTGATCATTCGATTGATGATGTAGATCTAGATTGATTAATGTGTAGATAATAAATTATTATTTTAATATTGCAACAGGCATCAAGGTGGTGATTCTTCTCTCAGTTGCTTTCGCTACCACAAGACGCGTGACTTGTCATCGAATAACTACGAGATAAGCGGACGACATGGTACATACGAATCGATAGGACCCAGACCAATAATTTACTACCAGGGAATGATCAGCCCAGATGACGCAAAGGAAACAGCATCCGACTCGGGCTACGAAATTCCAAACGCCACGTACTTGTCTGATGTAGAGGGCGCGCCACCTTCATTTTGTACATTTGTATTTTGAACACTATTAGACCAATATGAAATAGAACTTGGTGTGGAGTAATTTACCGTATCTATTCTAATACCGATATTTCTGAGAAGCTCAGCTTTTCCATTAAGCAACGTCGTTTACAATAATAATAATGTATTATCCTCAGTGGCCATTTTTCAATTGAAGGTGCGTCCAAAACAAGGAATACATGAAATATAAAATCAAGGTTTACAAAAGATATTAAATATTGTTATTAAAGAAACTAAAAATATAAAAAGTTCAATTTTTAAAATGAAAATTAAAAGTATAATTAAAGATAATATATGTTTAGTCAGTAAACTTAATTTAAATATGGTCTTAGGCTAAGAACTTAAATAAATAAGAGTTAAGTGAAAGAGTATTAATACGCAATCTGACCGCATATACCAAACTAGAAATCAGCTTAACTTCGTCTTAAGTCGCCTTCTTTGCTTAATTCAGATTTGTCAATATTGATACAGCACCCCCCCTCCCCCACGGTCGGGGAGGCCTTCCCCCTTGCCCCTACCCCGTCGGGGAGAAAAAACACAATTCGTCAGGGAGAAAAGAAATATAAAAAAAATTTTAAAAACTCTAAAATAAATTAAATAAGCCTTTTGAGTAGGTAGTAGATATTAGAATAACATATACTTCGTATTAGTCGACGAGCCCATTTTGAACAATATCCTAAATAAATGCGTAATACTAGTTGTAATATCTATACTGATGCAATAAATCTTCGAAAATATTATTACCAAACGTTGTCGTTCGACCTACAGATCATCTATCTCTTGATATTATATTTACTGTGCGCTGAATCAAGGTACACTGCGTTATTTTGTCGAGATAGATTCTCATTCATTATATTATATATCATTTCATTATATTGAAAGAGGTGCTCATACACATGCAGCATTACTGATAAAACCAAACAAGTTCAAGTCTATTGCGAAGGTGCTTGCCAGTAAAGAACTAATTCAAAACGAAACATTGCGTGATCGTCAATATACTGTAGTATTCTATAGGCCTATGGAACACAAGTTCTGTAAGCTCGAAAGCTCCGATGAGGGCAGTATAATAGACGCAGCAGAGTATATTGGCCCTAACGGCCGCCCATACAAATAACCGTTTAAAATAGTATTAAATTCGAAGTTTTGTTGGTGAACTTAGAACCTGTTTCAGTTGGTGTCCGTTCATGAATCGGAGGTTAAAATTATTTGTGGAAGCTCTCAAGTTATGCTTATTACATCGGAGAAACCGGCCGACACTTAATATTAGGCCTATACGTCTTACGATCATATGAAAACACAAGAAAAATCAAAAGTTTTGAAATTTAAATTCTTCTTCCTCTTTAAAGTGTTCCGTCTTCTTTTCATTATACGTCATTGCGCATTCCAAAACTTTTTTGTTTCCATTTTATCTGTTCAAGCAAGGTAATTCAACAATTGTTGAATTACCTTGGTTCAAGGCATAGCTCACCTAAATTCAATATTAGGCTTATTAACAAAATACAAATCAGAGAAGCGTTGCAAATAGAATAGAAGAGCCTCTGGAAACAAACACCTTTTACATGCATAGGAATACAGTTAATACAGTAGGCCTACCATATACGCTTATTGTAACAGACCCGTAGCGTGACTTAATTTGTGGGAGGTTCGTTTCAGTGGAAAGTGGACCCTTTGGAAACCATTACACAATAACGCAATATTGTTAGCTGGGAAAGCTTAAGAAATGCCGACTTGAAATACTTCTGGCTTGTATGATCGTCGATACTCAGGAGAACATTGTGATCTACGAATATCAATTTTCGTTTAAAAATGCGGACCTTATCCAGTTTTTGGGTTCGTCGCAATCCCCTTACCCCCCCCCCCCCCACGATGCGGGCTTGTTCAACAGGTGCTGACCAGGGTTTTAGATTGAATCCCTTTTAGTGGCGATGGAATAGGCCTATCCTCATAATGCTGTGGTTTGGGTGTTGGCTCAGCTTTGAACGCATCTTTATTTTTATTTTTCTTTATTTATTTCACATGGCCAAACATATCTACACTTGCTTTTACAGCGCATAGAGAATTTTTGTGTTTTAGTGCTATAGAAATTTAAAACTATTAACCATTAACCATTTACACGCTTTTGCACTTATTTATTTCTTCAAAGTTACTTCATAAGACTTTTCAAAATTTGGTCATAGCGCCCTCTTTTATAAATTTGATAAACTTATACTGGTACAGTACTCTATTATTTATTATGTTATCGTACGATATATCCATATCGTGCATATATCGATATAATAATAATAATAATAATAATAATAATAATAATAATAATAATAATAATAATAATAGTAATAGAAATAGCAATAATAATAATAATAATAATAATAATAATAATAATAATAATAATAATAATAATAATAATAATAATAATAATAATAATATACATTACAGGTGTGTTAGAGTACATAAAAGCAATAAAACAATAGCTTTTCAAATCAAATGCTAACCTAAACTAAGAAAAAAAAGAAATGGAATTATTGGTTGATTTTTATGCACTATTTTTATAGCGCCTTCTACAATAAACCAACTAGTACTAGTTAGTAAATATTCCTTTAAATTTCACTTTTTGTCAAAAAGCAATATAGGCCTATTTATTGACTTGGTACCAGGTCACCAGGTGTATCGTCCGCTCATAGTATTTTTTTTTTACAGATCTTGCAAGATATACGAGTAAGAGACATGGTCCAATTGTGGAGTGGAGCAACGTAATAGTTACATAAAACTACTACGTAATAACACTACTTATAGATTACAAAACAATACTTATTTGACGGTACAAATAATTGTTTTCGATCCCGTTCCCGAGAGGGCTAAACCACCAAAATAGTTGTAAACATAAACAAACCCACCTATACTTTTGATGTACAGATATTAAAGTCAGGCTCTGGAGGAAAAAACATGATAGGCCTAGGTTGTACAATTGATTTTCCTAAGAAAGAGTGAAAAAGGGGCGTAACCACACTTTTTCCACCTCCCCACCCCCACCCCAAGTTTTTAGATATCCAAAAATCTGTATTTAATCAACCGTTCTCAAGTTTTTAGTCAAATATGCTTTGTGCGTCTTCGAAAAATTACTTCTACAACATACCGAGAATGTTTTTCCTCCTGAGAGTGTGGCTTTAGTACTAAATTTCTCCTCAGCAGATAGCCTACATGGCTCGGTTTATCCTGGTATGGCCTAAGTGAGATGATCAAATTTGAAAGTTTTACAAGCATTTAAACAGTAAAGGATGCCTTTTCACAATGTACACTATTCAATCTCAAGTCATCACCGTTAAGTTTTGTCTTTAAGTATGGTAAGTTATCAAATAGCATTATCAAATTTACATTTAATTTAAATTTAATAAAGAACAAAACTTAAGATACTTTTGTTCAATTACAAAACATTGCACGACACTTCCCAAAAATTTACTACAGAACTCATCCATCTATATGCCACTAAAACGTAAGAACCTTTGAACCAGTTCCTGTTTTACACTCTTCTGACGTTCAGCGCAGTTGTATGGAAGTCGCTAACTTCTATTTGCCTCGGTTGCCATTTGAGAATAATTGACTAACCGAAATTCAACAAGCAACTAACATAGGCCTAATTCCAACAGAAACTAACAACACATTTTTTAAAATTTCTATTTTGCCTATAATTCCGGATAGGCCTATTTAGCAAAATGCGCTCATAAGTCAAGATTAAACTATTTTCATTATTGTTAATAATATATTATTAATATAATATTCCTTGAATATAAAAATACAAAATACAAGAGATAATAATGTTTCCAATCATGTAAAAATCTCAATATAGAAATTAATGACGAATTGGCCCATTTTTAAGGATTTTAGCAAAATGCTCTCAATTAAGATTAAACTATTTTCATGTTAATAATATATTAATAATACAATATTCATTGATTATAATAATATATTATTCCTTGAATCATATAAATATATTATAAATAGTATATTTATTAAATTAATATTAGAAATTGAGGTGGACTACATAAAGAGTCAATCATCACCTTGAATTATATGAATGTCGCCACCTATAGTTTAACATTTTCGGGAACTGAGAGATGAGGTCATAATACCATGCCACAAACAAACGATCCTATAGTCGATGTAGAAAGTTCCAACATGGCAGCATCTAGAGGACCGATTCTCCCTTTACACCAGCGTTATGTTAATGGTATTCCCGTTGTTTCTGGTCGTCAAACTCTTCGTACAAGAGAGAAATATATAGTTTGTCTTATTTTTATGGTATTTGCGAGTTTATGTTATAGTGCCTTCTTTCTAATGCCAGAACTTATGAGGGACAGAGTGTCATTGTCAATATCGGGAGTTTCAGGTGACTTACTCCTACCCAAGCCCCCTCAACACTTAGAATTTCTAAATGAGGAACAAGGTTTAGGCCTAGTGAACTTACACCATATTAATGGAGGAAAGGATATTCATATAAAGGAAGATCAAGACAGGATAGCGTATCAAATGCAGCAAGATAAAGCGCTAAATGAAGCTAGGCAGGCAGTGAATATTGTTAAACCCCCCGTCGATGTTGTGCATGAAAGTGGTCCAGCTGGTGGGGAGAAAAATAAACAAGAGCACACAGACGACGTCAAAGAAGAATTATTTAAAGTTGAAGAAGAGAAAAGGCGATTGAAGGAGCTAGCAGATGAAGAAGAAAAGAAAAAGAAAGAAATGGAAATGAGAGTGGCTGCTGAAAAGAGAGGACAATATTTCACCCAATTAGATGGTGAACCAGATGATCCTGACATAAAGGAAAAAAGAGATGCAGTTCGAGAGGTGAGACTGTTAAATTTTGAATATTTAAATATTAAAGCAAATAAAAAGTATTCACTTGTTGTACAGCGCATGCATAAATGCGCCAGGTTAATTAGTTAAGCCTAGGCCTACTGTAGCTCTTTTAAGTGTGTACAACGGAGTAGGCCCATATCGGCCGCTACCTATGGCGGCCGCCCTCCAGAACGGCTGTCAATGCGTGTATATGTATGGAACGCCCATGACGCATTCACAATTAATAATACAATACCGCTCGCTAAATACAAAGCTTTCGAGTCAACTAGGCCCCAGTCAACTCGGCTCGGCAGGTTAACTCAGCCCTCTTTTTCATATTATATATAGGCCTACACACTATATAAAACTACTTAAAAAATAACTATTAAAAAAAATAAATAAATTGAAGTCACATTAAGAATTGTAAACATCATAAAAATATAATAAAACCATTGCTCCAATCAAAACGTTCGATAGATTGAAGTTCTTCTCCAATAAAGTATAGTATTCGCTTCTTATTATTATTATATATAAAGCTAGTTTTGATTTTATTTATTATATCATAATTTATATATCTGTCTCTTATACACATCTAGATGTGTATAAGAGACAGGAGTACATAAAAGCAATAAAANNNNGAATAGGTAGGTTGAAAATTTCCTCCACTGAAGTGTTTCTAAAGTTCATACATATGATATTCATTTCTTAATTATTTATACTCAAAATATGTACACGATTCATGCTATCGATTCAATCGTTTGTTACTCAATAAAAAGCAACAATACTAGAGTAGTAGGGTTAAAAGTTAACGTTACCACGGAAACGTTAATTGATATCTTTTGTCTTATCTGATGAAGCAAGCATGTTCATTGTTTAGCCAGAGTGAGTTGGTAACTCCCTACTCCAGAAGTTGTGTAACGAAAACATTTTGTTAGAAATCGTGTATGAGAAAACATTTACTGAAAAAATAGAATAGGCCCTATGCCAGTTTACAAAACAAGAATTTATTATGTTCTTGAAAGAACGTATGGCGAAATATTTTATTATTAAGATTGATTGTTTTATGAAGTAGTTTAGCATAATTTTTAGTTAAGAAGTATTTATTTTATCCTGCAAAATATTCTAAGTTGAAACTTTATTGCTTTAATAGAAGAAATTTAATTTAACTATAGTTGTAACTTATCAAGAAACTTGATTTGTATCTTAGAATAAAGTATATAATATAATTAATTAATCCTGCTTTATAATTATATATGCACGATTAAGCAAGTGTATCTATTGCAAGACGATTATACGTTCCAGGTACAAGTGATTGATTGGTTACCGTATTTAAATAATTAATTAATAATTAAATCTAGGCATGAATGGAAATACATTGCTTTAAATAGGTATCAATTTGGCAGTACTAAGTTGCCTAGTAACAATTAATTCAGTGGGAAACGTTCTCACAAGTAGGGTCCAATGATACTCTTGGGAGAATAAGAAAGCTTTGTAGTCCGCCAATTCAGGAATGTCATCGGAGACAAGGAAAGAATGTCAAATGCTGAAAATAGCCAACTGGCTTGATCTCTGTACATGGAAACTGTACGAACATGTGCGATGGTTCAGGAATGTGGTTGTTACCCGAGTTGTTCGCTAGTATACAGACCCTATAATGTAGGGTCTGTGGACTCTATAATGTAGGGTCTGTGGCCATGGCCTATACGACGTGTTGCTTTCTTGTCTATTAATTATTTTACATACAGTAATCTTAATACAGACATTGATTATGATCATTAACCTCTGTTGTGTGTTATAACCGTATTATTGCTCTTTAAACCAGGTTGAACTTTTAATCAGTTGGTGAATTCGCATTAGGTTATTCATCAATCGGCAGACACTGCACACTCGTTCTGCACGAATGGGCATGTTTTGCCCTATCTAATACAAGCGTAACCACGGAAACATGTATTTCTATTGTTATCTTCTCTATGAAGGGCATAATTTACAGTTAAAGTTCTGGATTTTAGGGCGATGTATTTCGTGTTTTTTCGTGCTTCAAATCAACCATTCAATCATTTAAGAACGTATAGGCCTACACATAATATACAACGAAACATAAAGAATCAAATACTGTAAACTTTAATAATATTACGAAAAATATAATAAAAATCCACTGATTTTTTTTTTTATAAAGTAATACACAGAATCATTGAAAAAAAGCAATGCCGGTCGGCAGACCGTCAGTGTCGGTCGGAAATTTTGAGTGCCGGACGGGGCATAAATATGTGACTTTTTGTGGCGTTTATATACTTTCTGCTCCAAAATCAATCAATCATTTAAGAACGTATAGGCCCAGACATAATATACAACGAAACATAAAGCATCAATTACTGTAAGCTTTAATATTTTAAATACGAAAAATATAATTTGGCAGTATATTAATATTATTAACATTCTTCTTCTTTCTCTTCTTCAATATATGCATCGGCTCTGTAATATGAAAATAATAAAATCCGTTGGTTTGATTATCAACATATAAATTCGTTTGTTTCAAATAGATAAAACAAAATATATTATGAATCTTAAAACATTATTATTTACTTACACAAACATAATAAAATCCACTGTTCGTTTGTTCCAAATAGGTCAAACGAAATATATGAATCTTAAAACATTATTGTTAACTTACACAAACCTAATAAAATCCACTGTTTATTTGTTTCAAATAGATAAAATGAAACATACGAATCTTAAAACATTTATTAACTTACACAAACCTAATAAAATCCAATGTTTTGTTCGCAAAATCATCACAGTATTAATGCCATTGAATTGCTTAAAACGACATTAATTAATTAGCAGCAAAATACCTGATAATACAACACGATTATTATTAACATATGATTGCACATATAATGTACATTCGTTCATTTTAAATAGATAAAACGAAATATATGCCATCTAAATCATTAATTATTAACTATACGGGACTTACACAAAACCTAGTAAAATCCGCTGTTATTTTGGCAAACTAATGGCAGCATAATAATGCCACATTAATTATTTGGCAACATAAAAAGACCTAACTATAAAACACCAAATAATGGTACTGAGTCTGTAGTAGCAATAGCTTTGCGCCTACTTGGTGTTCCATACAAATATATCTCGGCCGAACTTGTTCACGGCCGAACCAGTCCTAAACCATTCTAAACCGACTTGACCTAGGCCTATGGCAAACCTACTTGACCTAGGCTTATTCCAAACCATTTAACTACAATGTACTGCATTATGAATGCGTCATCGGCGTTCCATACATATACACGCATTGGCGGCCGTTCTGGAGGGCGGCCGCTATAGGTAGCGGCCGATATGGGCCTAATTCTGTACAACTACTACACAGTTTACATTAAACAACCAGGCAAGAGTGAGTGAGGGGTTTACCCACTGTAAAGTTTCAATTGCGTGAATGATACCTCAAAAACCAGCAGAAATTGCTCTGAAGATTGTAATTACTGCATACCGTATGCATTATTTATAATATGTAGATAGGTAAAAGCCTTATTTTCAGTAGAATTGCCTGGGCGCAAGAGTGAGGCTTTTAAAATCCGTCCGCGCATTTCATAAAAAAAAAGGGCCGATTCCCGCACAGATTTTGTCAAAAATTAGGATTTTACCTAAATCTTATAACCATTTTATTTTGTAATAGTTAAGAATATGCGTACCCATTTTTCTAGCGATTTTTCCGCACGAATTTGAAGCTAGTTTTGGAGGTATCATTCGCACAATTAAAGTACTTTACATTGTGGGTTGTTTTTGTTTAATACTAATAGTGAGACAGTAAAATTACATACAAATTACAACACCATCATTTATTTATGCTGAAAAATTCCAATACCGTAAAAGAATAGGCCTAGTATTTTTTACCCAATGATGATTTTAATACGTGGACATATAAACTGTATATTTTAAAATAGACAGGTTTATGTGGATTGGATTGGATTGGATTTATTCTGTGTAAACACCAAAGATAGCGATGGGAATTGAACCGGGGACCTAGAGATCTCCACGGTTCAGCGCACACACAGTGGCTACCACCAGATTAGCCGACTGAGCTAAGCTGCTCTCTATTGAGCTAAGCTGCTCAGTGATGACGTTCCCACTCACATCAACCACAATTAATCCCCAGTGTCCTTTGACTTTTCATTTCAAAAATTCTATAGACGCGTGTTTGGTAGCATGTGAGGCGTTGGACTTTTGATCAAAAGGGGATGGGAGATTCGAGGCCGATGCTCGTCACACTGCTTGTGTCCTTGGGCAAGACACTTTATTATCTGCATTTGCCTCTCTTCACCCTGGAGTATAAATGGGTACCTGATAGGAGGTGATTGATTCTGAATGAAATTAGTAGTGCGGATTACACGCATTTTCTAGGAATAATCCCCGGAAAGCGGAGGAGGTTGTGCGCTCTGTATGATTGATTCTGTACCCAATGGCCGGGGGAAAAGTGGCTTGAACAGTTTTCTGGATGTGTGTGCCATATAAATCCTATCAAAATAAATAAAATAAATTGGCATTTCATTGATAATATACTTGAGGCCCCATTTTTGATTGCGGTATGGCTCACTACAACTTTTTAAGACTGCAGTCATACCCAGCAGTATCAATGTGTACTCTAGTAAATTATAGGAGTGATGTTTTGCCCTACCTGACGTGTTGTCGTACTGAATACTCAGTACGTCCCCACATACTAGCGAAAAAAATTTGCAAGTGATTCGGGCTAGTAAATTGCTAACTGAGGGATAACCTCCTGCACATGAGCCTAATGGCTCGGGGAGGATTTATTTAACTTTAGCTTAGGCCCTAAAAATTAGTCGGTCAAATATAGCCTATCACAAACTATGTAAAAAGTAATTATTCTTCCTTCACAGATGATGATCAGAGCATGGGACGGATACGTAAAGTATGCATGGGGTGCGAACGAATTGAAACCTATATCACACACTGGCCACTCTGCAAGTATATTTGGGCGTTCGGCGATGGGCGCCACCATTATCGACGGTGTTGACACCCTATATATCATGGGTCTGCAAGATCAGTATCAAAAAGCACGTAACTGGATAGCCCATGACTTCTCATTCAATCCAGTGAGTATTATTATTTTTTAAAAATTTTATTTAGTTTATTTATTTTATTTAATTTATTAAATAATAATTAAATTTATTTTATTTTATTTTATTTATTTCAATTTTTTAGATTTATTTACTGTAGTACTCTATTTGTTTATTTGACTTTTGTTTGTTTTGTCATTGTTTATTTGTTTTGTCATTGCTATTTTTTATTTTCTTTATCTTGTATTTACTTTTATTTCCTTTTATTAGGCATGCCCATCATAAGATTTTCATCTAATAAAAAAAAAATTAGGTTTAATTATACTTTTTACTAAAAAATCCTGACACTTAATGTATAATAATCAATCAACAAATACCTTGGTAATTATGCTGGTTCATTAATCTGATTTTATACGGTATTAGAGGATTTTATGGAAACCAAGCTTCAGGGTCAAATACCAAGTACTGTACTATGTTTAGTGCAGATTTTTATTTTCTTTGGAAATAAAATAAAAATACACGTAGGTTTTTCATATTTTAAAATGATTTACACTTGGTGCAGAGATTTGTCATCTGGTAGTGGGTTCTATTTCCTCATAACGTAGTAGTTTTGAAGAAATGTAAACAAGAATCCTTAATTGGTAGCTATATTATGTGGGTCTTGATTCATTTAGACAGTATAAAGCCAGCTGATTGGATCTGATTACATATTTCCATTCTCTGTCTGTGGTCCCTAAGGCAAGCAGCTCATAATTAAGTTTCTTGAAAGATAGCAAAGAAGAAGCAATGCTTATGGTCCCCTTAATTATTATTATTGGATGATTGTAGTCATCAGTGACACAACTAAGTCCAACTGAATGACAAGCTGATTGATCTAATTTGATGTAGGAATATTTGACTGACAGTTCCATTTGGCTTAATAAAAAAAAATAACCCTTGTGTGGAGATGTCTAAATGTTTTTTAAAAAAATGAATGTTTTTTGGAAGAAAAACAAATTGTTGGACATTTTTTTTTTAAATTTTATATATATATTTTTTTTAATATGTTTGTTTTCATTTGTTTAAAGTAAATAATTAGTAGATATTGTTTGCAATATCTCAAGCATCTTTCACTTTGAATATCAATGCACTAGCAAGCAACCCAAGGGTGATATTTGGCTTTAGCAAAAAAAAAAAAGAAACCTCTTCCTTCATCAATTTTGCAGCACAGATAAGGTGATAAACTAATAATTTATTTTATAGGACCTTATTCTTTAAGTTTTTCTCAGCCCACATTCATTCAAAAGCCATTAAGCAATGGAGTATAGAAGACCATTCTGTATTGGAAAATTATGTTATCAATAAAAATTAAAATTGCAGAGGGTTGATATTATTACAGTACAAAGCCAAATTATAATTATTTTGTAAAGTTATTTTGTCAATAATAATCAATATTATTTTAAGTTAAAAAAAATTGTTATAATAGAGTCACTCTGAGCAAATGTCATATCGCCACATTGCTTTGGATATTGGTGCTATATATCAATATTGACAGTTGATTGATTGATTGATGTACAGTAGACTAGACATGCTACAATACACTGCCTAGTTGCCCAATTAATGGATTTGTGTAGTGATCCAGTAATTAAACAAAACATTGTAAATTATTTGTTTAACTTGATAATATATTATCAACAAAACTATTTTGTGACCATTTTGATAACCACGATGATTTTGCCATATACTAGGCCTACTATTTTTCTTCAATAATATGGAAAAAGTAAGCTATTTACTGTATAAAATTAAATTTTTAAATTGATAACAAAATATTGCACGTTCGTTTTAAAACCATTTTTTTAACCTTAAAATTTATTACAGAGTTGTTCAGGTTTGTTTATTTTAGATTGTTAAGTTTTGCATATTTTTTTTCAGCCAAGTGATATTTCTGTATTTGAGGTGAATATTCGCTTTGTCGGTGGACTTTTGTCAACATACGCTTTGACTGGTGATGAGGTAAGCAATTAGATATAAATATTATAATGTTATATGTTCAGTAGATTTACAGTAGGTTACATTTAAGACAGTTAATGCAGTAACACTTAATACTGTACTTCCCATACTTTCCTTTCATATCCATACACCTTTCTTTCAATGTTATATCTTGTTCCTTGTACATATTCATCAACAAATACTAGTTTCATGATTATTGTACTTGTCACTTGCATGTGAAGAAGGTATAAGTCATTATCACAGGGAATCCCTCTTAGATTCCTCCCTTTCCACCTCCCCTCCCCCTCCCAAGCATGTATGGACATTTGGCCAAAGTTTAGGAAAGGAAATTGACTGTGGTGACCATCAAATTCAGTATGAGCGTTGTGTATGGAATATAAGAAGGCTGAATTTAATGTGGTGCGAGGGGGTATTGTCTCTGGTATCAGTAATTTTCTCTGGTGCTATTTGTAAATATTTGTCTACTGTATAGTTATCCTAAAAGACTTTACTATGAAGGAAAAAAAAAAGATACTTGTTCCATTTACTTTTATGTTGATATCTATATCATGGTTGCTAAAATTAGAATTAATGTAACCCTGCTTTGGAATTCCAATTCAAAAGTTGTGAGTGAAAAGTCAGATGTTGGTCACAAATTTGCTTGTATTTGGAATGGGAAGGGTGGAGAGTTTTGTCTTTCTACTTACGGAATAAGATACTGTACCTTTGCAGGATATGAAATGATTTGGAATTAAGTTGGTGTGGGCTGAATTACATGGATGACCAGGAATACTTTCCAGGGAACAGAGGAGGTTTATTTTGGATGAATGATTGCGATCAATGACCAGGGCAAAATTGGTCATAGAAAATTCACGGCAAATATAGAAGTTTACACCTGTTTAGTTAGTTAATTATAACCTAAGTTTAGAAATTCCTATGTCCCAACAGCCAAGTCAAAAAATATAGTTTATCTTCTGCATGAATTTTTAAAATCCACCCCATCAAAAATATAAAAAATATTAAACACTACACTAAATTAAAATTTCTTCATTTTTTTTTTCACACCTGATTTCCATGAAGTTGCCTTTCCATCATCTACTTTGACCCCTGGCAGGGCTGTAGTCTGTATAAAATTAAGAGTGGGTGGGAGAGGGTTTAGACATTTTATGAGTGGATATGTAATAGTATGGGTATATATAACTAATAAAAAAGTGTCTGAGCAGCCCTTCCCCTCTCTGCCCACAATAACCACAACCCTGCCCTCGAAATATTTCACATTCAAAGTATTTATCCAATTTCAACTACCCGATATGACACTTGTCTCTGTTCCTAGAGAAGCATGGCTTACTTTTTGATTTGATTTTCTGCTTCAATGGAACATCAAAGATTGCTTCATGTATCAAGCTATAGTGAAGAGACTAATATAGTTTCTCACGTATAAATAAGCTCACCTTTGATATGCCCCACCCTCTACATTACTGTACATCCGATTTCATTCTATTAGAATTTTCCATGCAAAAGTAGGGTATGATTTGAATAATTAAATTAGCTTTCATTGTATTTTCATTAAAAAAAACAAAAAAACAAAAACAGGTTTTGAATTGGACATGGTGCACTGTTGGAAAATAGCCATAATTGACCAACTACATGCACAGTAAGACTTTATATCAGTTTAAATAATGTAGTCATATTTTTAATGTAAAAAAGATTCCTCAAGACCATATATAAGCCAACCCCCCTCCCCCACCCACATTAATGCAATTTTGTGTTCAGTACTTTAACAGTAGTTGATTGTTGTTAGTTGTAGAGTGCTTTTATGATTGTAAGCTGGATTGAACGTTATTGCCAGCATATGTTTTCACTTGTCCCTCTAAATGTTTATTCGATCACATTATTTTACCATTGTTTCAGGTATTCAAGGATAAAGCAGTTGAAATAGCCAATAGACTTCTACCAGCATTCAACACGCCGACTGGGATTCCATATGGACTAGTAAACTCAAAATCGTGAGTACTGTATACTATTCTTTCTTTTATCATGTTGCATTTTTTTTTTATAATTTATTTTGTGTAGAGTTGAATGGTTTGGTGGTTAGGGTGCTTGCCTTCCAATTCCAAGATCCTGGGTTCAATTCCTGTCAGTGTTGCAGGATTCTAAACCTCATACAGTATTATTGAGATTACGGTAGTTTGTGTAAAGCATCGCATGTATATTTTGTTTTGTGCAAGGAAATGTCATCTACAAGTAAGCCAGTGATATATTTGCTATTTGACAATCCTTGCTGCATGTGTTGTGCGCCTAAATAAATAAATAAAATAAATAAATAAATATTATTTATTTATGGTCATAAAAATATATGAAATTTCTTCCTTTGCGTCTTATACATAAAAGTCACTACTTACTTTAAACAAGTGATAAACAAGACCATATTTATAACAACATAAAGAAGTGTATGGACTTTGGGGAACATGTTGCAATTTAGACAGGCAGAGAATTGCTTAGAGTATTGAAAAATGTTAGGTCAGCTATGAATTGTGATTACATGGTCAGGAGTATTATGGTGGTTTCAGTAGTAAGAATCTGTCCCTCTATAAAAATCTTCACTTGCATGTAATATTTCATTACATCACATTCTTTTAAAATCTGGCTGCCACTTCTTCACAATTCTTTTTCAACATCAGTACTTCATTCATTCTTTGCTGGATAGCTGTATACCACAGTTGTGTCGTCACAACGCCAGGTTGGTTACCGTTCATTACGCCTGAATGACTCCATAGGCTTTCTGGAATAGGCATTTTAAAATCTAATATTTCACCATCAAAATGTACTAAAAACACAAAAGCTCACATTATATTAGTTATCGAACACACATTTAATCATCAATTAAAATTCACAAAGAAAAAGTAAGGTACAACATCTTAATAATTACATTAGAAATTGGGATCAATGGTTTGTCAGTGGAGAAAATGGCCTCCGGTTGAACTCTTTTTGCAACGATAGCAACGGAGTACGGTTGTATCGTGACGTAACACTGTAGTACTCTATAGTACCATCCCACCCCATTTGAACAATACCACTTACCACTCGATAGTTGATTAAGTTTTTTGGTTTACCTCTCTCTTGTTTTTTTCTGATTGCGTCTGTTTGTTCTTGTCTTTCGTTTAAATATTTTGCGAGAAGTAAATGAAATAAAATGAAAACAATGGTATAGTCCATTGTGGGCACGGTTGTAACTGAAAAAAACTAAAGGATCGGGTGGTAGACATTTAAAGGGTGGGTGGGTGATAACATTGTTAAACTCCAAATAATAAAAGTGAATTTTAAGGATAGGCAAGAGGGTTAATAAAGGTGAGTGGAGGTCCATGAATTTAGCTTTAGACTGGGTGGAGAACTTCAAGACTGGCTGGTCCCACCCACTTCCACTACCATAACTACATCCAGACTGACCAGATTGGTTTTTGTATGATTTTCATCCAGTTTATCAAAGTATGATTACAGTTAAATACGAAGTAATATACGTAATAATTATTATAGACTGGCAGTTTGTTCTCTGATCGCAGACTTAAAGAGAAAAGTCATGTTTCTTATCAAAATTCATTGCAGGCAATAGGCAGTATATTAGTTGGAGCACACAACAATTGAGTGTAATATTTATAGTCAATCACAGAAAAGATAGCATCAGATTATTTTTTTTTTGCATTTAAAGCAGATGAATATAATGTTTTTAACATAAAAATTATAACTTACACTATGGGACTGTTGAAATACCTTATTATTGTTAAATAAATATTGTTAATATTCTTAAAAATTCTTGGTGAGTTGATTGGCCGAGCGGTTAAGTCAGGGGCATTGTATGCCTTCAGCTCTAATATCGCTGGTTCGAACGGCTCACTCGCCAATGGTTCCGGTGGTGAAACAAGTCTTCTCGATTAAGGACTTCAAACCGTAGGCCCAGTGTACGCATTTGGCTCGTGTGCACTTTAAAGAACCCACTACATCCTTCGAGAAGAGTAGGGGTTACCCCAGTGTACTGGTCCATTAGGTCCCCAGATGTTAAATGGATATGCCACGTAGGACAGTGATTAAGTTCACTTATTGGCATATCCTTGGTGCTCGTGCCTAAAGGAATGAAATGAAATGAAATGAAGAAAGAGAAAGACATACGACCTAAAACTACATAAACCTTCTGTAACTTGAAGACCTACTGTACAACAGTATTTGATATTTCCGTTCATACTACGGTATTTGTTAATCCTTGCTTATTAGTGATACAGTTGTAGGTTATTGTTCATTCGTTATGGAATTGTCTTGATCTCCAGGATGTCAAATGATAATTTCCATTGAAGTCTTCAAAGGCCAATTATTTTGCTTGTACTATAGAGTATGGAAGTCCATGTCAGGTATTACAGTGTACACAATAGCCATACTCCATTGTGATAACTTTTAACCTTGTTTATTATAGTACAAGTCATAATTTTTTCTTCCTTAGTTTTATCTAATGCTGAATTCAACTTCCATGATTTGAGAATGATATACTAGTATCCACCAATCTTTAAAGTCTTCTTAGATTTTCTAAGATCATAACTTAAAAGATCTTAAGAAATAATCCTACCTTTCATATTCCCTTTAGTAGACTTTTAACATGCTTAAAAATGGTTTTATTAGTAGAAAGCTTAGCTTATAATTCTCTTGTTTTAAGGAATCCTGATATTGATATTTTTAGTGATAGTTTCTATGTTCCGTCAGCGTTCGAAATATTTTACATTATATTGTTTTTGTATTCTTCACGTTTACTATATTATGTATCCGTTTGATGTTTGTGTTCCCTTCTGTAGCGAATTTTATGTTTGCTGTTGGCTGGGATAATAAATAAATAATTAAGTAAATAAATAAATGTAAATTAGATAATTTTTTTTAATTATTGTGGTGGTGAGATTGTTGTTGCATAATTTTGATGGCGTATTTAAATTCAAATTTACTTTATATAGCGACTCAAAATAATGTACAAAAAATATCGCCAAGGATCATTGTAGTTATTTCAAATTGTCATCCTTTATCAAAACAATGAAGATACCATTCAGTTCAAATTTCTCACATAATATATAGAAAATTCTTAGAGTGATATCTGGCAACAACCATCATTTAAAAAGCAAGGAAAAAAAAAGCTTTTAAAAATAAAATAAATAAAAGTTTAATTACAGTTGATGGTTTAGGTAATCTACTGTACACCAATAATGATAAACATTGCAGTTACGCTCATTTCCAAAATTATGTGAAAATTGATGCCTTGCAGAGTAATAAATGGCTTCGTTTCCCTGTTGGTATTTAATATTTTAGCATTCAGTCAAGCTTGACTTTTATAAAACACCAAATGCGAGTGGGCAAAAACTCTATTCTTTTTGTATCAAAATATTTTGATTTCATGTCTTCAATATGAAATAAATATTGGAGAACATTAGTTTTTCCTGTTAGATGTTTTTTACCTGATTCTGTTTAGGCCCTACTGTATAAAAAATATTATTATCTAGGCTGGAAAAGTGATGAGAGAAGGAGCCTTCTTTTTAAAATTTTTTATGTTACGAAAGCCAATTATCACCCATGGGTTGTTTACTGGTGTGTTGATATTCAAAGTAAAACATGATTGATGTAATACAAACAATATTTACTATTTAATTTAAAAAATGAAAAAAATAATTTTTTCAAAAAAACAATTTTTTTTTTTCAATAAGAAGAAAAAAATATCAGTACCATAGAAAACATGCGAGTGAGGGTGATATTGAAACTAATATTTGTTATTTGGTGTTAAACATCCTTTGCCTAAGTTGGACAGTATAATCGTCTCATCGTTTTCTTTCACAATTTCCAAGCTGTATATTGTCTCCCTGCTGTATAATTTTGTCTTTGGGTTTGGGGGGGGGGGGGTGCATGTCCATGCCAATGCTTTTTGGGCTACTGTACATTTGGACTCAATCTCGGGTAAAATGTATTTGGCCATCTGCAATTGCGTTTAGCACTTAATTGTCATACACAATATTACTTATAATAGTGTACAATAATTAGGTTAAATAATAATCAGACAGCTTTTAGAGACTAATATAGGGGTTCCCAAGGCTCCCTCCCCCACCCATGAGTCAAAGTTCCTCGTAATCCCAACAGCCTCCTGCTATTAAAAGCAACATATTCCAAGAAACTATTAACTCATCACCAGCAAATATATTTGCATGTTTTTTTGTAATTGTCTCCCAGAAGTCCACAGGTGATGGGGTCACCATGCTCAAGTTTTTAGAAAGTTCATTTACACCTGATCTCCAGTTAAGTGTCTTCCAACTGGTGACCCCTGCTAGTATTTACATTACACAAGTATTGAAGCAGGAATTTATAGGCTACATTGAACTTTAATAAGATGAGCTTGCTGTAATGTCTTTCACTTTTATTTTGTGAAGAATCCATAAGAGTACATTTCAGTTATGCTTCAGCACTGTGTACTGTAACTTAAGTAATACCACCACTTTGTAGTCGGTCATGCAATCACAAGAAGCGTAGACGGTCATACAATCACATATTTGCATATTTTTAAAAGCAATTTTAAATCCGAAATTCTCTTTAATCAGTTGTCAAAATCAAACATTATACATTATCAGATACTGTCTGTTCAAGCACCTGTTGCATTTACGGTCGTAAATAATCGTATAAACATTTTTAAAAGCAATTTTAACTTTGAGATTCACTTTAATCAGATGTCTCAAACAAACATTACATTACCAGGTAATGTATGTTCAAACATCTGTTACGTTTACGGTCGTAAATAATCGTATAAACATATTTTAAAAGGCAATTTTAACTCCAAAATTCACTTTAATCAGATGTCTAAAACAAACATTATACATTATCAGATAATGTCTGTTCAAACACCTGTTGCATCTGATAGAAGACAACATGAAGATATTATAGTAGGTTCATAAACACTGTACAGTAGTAAGGTGCACATATCTTCACATCACAGACT